TTTTATTAATATCAATACTACATAATTGTTTGCCATAATCGCCCTTCTTAATAAATAATCGCTGCAATGCTATAATTAGTTTTTCATGCTGTCTTCTTAATAAATGATCGCTGTAATGTTGCCATAATTGACTTCAATAATAGCTTGCCATAATTGACTTTAATAATAGTAATAGTTGCCAAAATTATTTTTGTAATTATTTGAACTTAAATCAAATGACATATTAATATATAGTTATTTTATATAAATAATATCGATAATCCGTAATTATTGTCATGATAATAATCACTTTTTCTCTAAAGCAATTCCGGCAAACAACTTTAGTGTATGTATATGCATTAAAAATTAATATATATATATATATTAATATTGTATCAAACATTGACATAAAATTTTCTATTAAATGTATAGTAAAATGTTATTGTATTGTTATATACAATCTCAAATAATTGTTAATTGAGTCCTTTCGGCAAAAGTAATCAAAATAATACTGCAATTCATTTCCTTGTAATTCTAATATGTTGTCTTCAATTAATATACATTAGTCGGTCCAATATGATAGAAGCAAGGTGATGAGTTAAAATATTACACTCTTCTCTAGTTAAATACAAATGATGGATTGGAATATAAACATGCAAGGATATATCGCCCAAATTCGTCATCTTTGGTATACCAATGATGGTCTTAAAGTAAAACTGCGACAGCACATTCTTAAATTGATCAGTCAAATTAAAATATATATTAAAAACTGTTGAAAATACATAATACAACTAGTGAATGAGTTATATTTATATATCATTACCATTTATACATGATAAATTTTATAAACATTTTAAAAAATCAAAGAAAAACAATGACCCGTCTATGGATCGGTGAACTCTAAATAAGGATCAGCGGAGGAAAAACATCACAAATTTTACTAATTGACGACTTTGTATAAAAAATGGTACTATTACTATACTTCAGCACAATAAAATAATATTTTGAGTTATGAAACAAATGTCAAGAAACATATTTATACTTTTTTTTTCAAGAATATCGAAAAAAAAAGATTTACTCTTGGGGATGTAGAGATGAGTGAGATTTTTCATATATAAAAAAGTTTTTACGTTCGTGTGATTTATTAAAATAAAAAATAACAAAAATGAGTGTATAATTATTTTTAATCGAACATCTGGGAGGGAGATCGTCACAAAACTTGGCCAATGAAATCAAATCTTAACTATGTTAAGAGCGCAGCAAAAAAAAAAAATGACTCATTACCCTTTGATTTTCTCATCCTTCCCTAACAATTCATTTTACTAAAGTTGAGAAGTATTTCCCGTGCAATCAAACATTTCAAAATTAAGTAGAAATTTAATTACGGCATTCACTATTAAAAACATAAGTGTAACACCCCTTTACTACATGTATGTAACCCCCTTTATGACAGTGTGAAAATACTTTGGGCTGCATGTATAGCACCAACTGATTTCTCAATATAATTGATGGCGGCATGAAATGCATAAACACAGTGAACCCTCCATAAGTACACCCTCCATAAATGCATGCTCTCTCATCCATTCCCAAGGGGTGTGCACTTATGGAGGGTTCACTCTAATGTATGCTGATGAATACCGATCATACATATTTTCAGAAATTATCAGTTTGTTTGGTGTAAAAATCAAAGGGTTATATTTTTTGATGTTATTGATAGTGGGAGTTTGTGTGAATCACTATTGGCAAAAAATTTATGAAAGTTAGGAATTGATAGCATTGATAAACTTGATAAAAAATCAGGATTATGGAATATAATAATACATACTGTATTTGATTCATCTTCAGAATAATAATCATCAACATCATTCATATTTTGATATTAGCTAAAATGGAAAAGTACAACATATTTGTCATTAAATTCTTCATATTCTAAAATTTTATCATCAGTTGCTATCCAGTGACTAGAATCAAACATGAATTGCAAGTATAAAATCAACATGAAGAAGCTTACCCTAGACCTTTTGTGATTTTGATTTCCACACTGGGGATCTAATGTTCTTTTTTGGCTTCGTTGTATATTATTTTCTTTATCAGTCTTTGGTTAGGATTTTCAAGAATTAAAATTGTAATTCAAAAGTAAGTTGCATTACAACATAGACAAACAATAAATGAGCTTACAGCATAAAATAAAGATACTTACTGGTTGTATATTATTAATATCTGGGTTTGGTATAGAGTATTCATGCTAATAAGTGGCTGGGATTTGTGGAAGTGATCAGCAACAACTTTGTTACACTAGATGCTTATTGGTTAGGTAAGCAAGAGAGGAAAATTGAGATGTATAAAGGAATTTGGGATTTGGGATCCTTGCTTGATTTTTAATTTGGCAGCACCTATAGTATAGAGTCTGAAACATATATTACAAAGTCAAACAAGATGTATGTTATAAAATACTTATAGAGAAGTATATAATATTTACTTGCCTTCAGAAATACAATTAGAGCTGTCAACTTCATGTATGCTACTGTCTTCTAAAGATTTATTCTCTGTGATATGCTTCATATGTATTCTTTTCACTTTAACTAATGGTTTCTTTGATACATTTCTGTTATATTCCATAAGCTGACTTCTATACATGGTCAATGAAGTATCACAAAGACAAAGAAAGCCTATCTTGTCAAAGTACAATATTTCTTCTTCCTAGAAGACAAAATAAATTTAAAAGGTTAAACTAATTCCATCAAAAAGGTCAATCTATTATAAGACCTACCATAAGAAATTGCCTTTCCATGGTTTATTTTTAGTTTGTTTTGTTGAAGATTTGAGAAATGTTTCACTGGTGGTGAGTTCTTGGCATTCCTGTAACAATAAAGCAGAAGGTTTATTAATTAATTTTCATTACTAAATCACTCAATATTGAGCACAACTATGCATATTCAAGCAACACAGACAAAGCACACCCTTTCCCACTACAAAGATGTACTCTGCAGAATATTCTACTAGTCAATTGACAATCATATTATTCACTGAGTAGTTTTCACCAACAAGGATGCATCATTTTCCACTACAAGGAAGCACCCTGCAGGGTAGTTGATGTACTCAGGTTGTCATGAATATACATGCAGCCCAAAGTATTTTGACACTATCATAAAGGGGGTTACACATGTAGTAAAGGGGTGTTACACTTATGTTTTTAATAGTGAATGCTGTAATTAATTTCTACTTTCTACCATCAAAATCACCAAACCAATTTGGGCTGCATGTATATACAGGGTAGGGTTGGAAAATTGAATGGTCCATTGAGAACTGATGGATTTGGACTGGTCCATTGCCATCAATAAAATACAAAATATGGTTAAAGCATTACACTAATGGACCCAATAGACCACCAATAGACCAGAAATGGACCGCATATTTGCCAACCCTGTTACAGGGTAATATTTTTTAATGGTTTTCAATTCAGTAATATATTGATGATGTTCTGTTGCTTCAGCTTCCAAAAAGATGAAAATCTAGAAATATCTTTAAAGATAGCTCATCAATATTTTCCCAAAACTCTATATTTTCAAGTTAAAAATTTAACAACAGGCTATAAAATTCTCATAACAATGATAAAAAAAACTGAATAAACAATTTGCTTTACCAGGACATGCCAAAGCCATAAAACATTTATTGTTTTGAACACAAAAATTGCCTATCATTAGCACTAAAAGGTAAAATAAATACAGTCAGGGAGATTTCCAAATATATAATTTCTAAATACATATTATATATGTATTATCAATTAATTAATATTAAAACATTACATTGGTGATGACAAATTTTATACCTGAAATTTGGTAATACAAATATTTGTTGCTCAACTGAGATTTTTTTTACAACACTATGTAGAAAATTCCGGAAAATTTGAAAATTATCCAATAGAATAAATTTCATAAGAAAAAAAATTTATTATTAATAATAGTAAAACGTTATTATTATTATAAAATGTGTATCTTTTCCTTTTTTAGTAAGATCAACTATGATATTGGTGATATTCATTCGAATAATATTCATGATATTCGAATAATTCCGAATGAATAAATTACCCAGCAATAATCCGCTCCGCGTTTTTATTGTTTTTATTTCAATAATAATATTTATATAAAATAAAAGACATATCAATGCAAATAAGAAGAAGTTACCTCTGGTTAATTATTAACACGTCTTCTTTAGAAGAACCCTGCAATACCACGACATTTACATTCCTTGTCTTGTAAAAAATAATTGTCTTCCAAAAAAAAAAAATCAATCGCGTCAACAAAAAAAATAGGAGGCTTTTTTGTACAATCCATATACATAAATTAATTTTTTTGTGTACAGTACATCCATTATTAATCAACTATTTTTTTTTTAAAAAATAATTATTAATCAACTATTTTTTTTTTAAATATAAATATCAATCAATTATTTTTTTTAATCATGTCAAACCGATTAAAAAAATACAAAAAAAAGAAGTAAAGACAAAGAACCAAGGGAGAGACGCGAGTAAATGGTCATCAAAAGAATGGTGATGGTAGTTATCACCACTCGTTGTCACTCTAGTTTATTTAATTAGTGGAAACGACGAATCTTCAATTAAAGAAAATGAATTTAATGAAGAGGACGAGGTATTTGATAAAATCTCACATGATGTTTTTGGACTGATGTGCATTTGTAAATTAATAATTTATTCTACTTCTCCCCATATATTTCAACTACTCTTTTTGGTTTAGCATAGACTAAATGTACCCGAGGAGGAAGCTGTTGCTGCTACTGCTACTACTACTTGTAGAAGAAATGTCTGTAGTAGTATTAGTAGTAGCAAATCTAACTCATTCATTGGTTTATAATTTAGAAACAAAAGATTCATTGAAAAGAGTAATAATCCGGTTTATTTATTAGTTTTCATTAAATAACTCAATGGGTAAATATAAAACTTATGCCCTTTTTAATTTAGCCTAGGTTAAACCATCCATAAACATACACCATCTTCAACCGAGATGTTAAACCTGCCTCCATTAATAAACGATGATAATTACGAGGTAGAGGAAGAGGAAGAAGAAATTACTGTTATTCGAAATGTTCCTCGTGAATTGTCTTCTGTAGACGAAGTTTTTGAAAGTTATTTCTTCGTAGAAGAACACAACGTATCGAGATTATTCCATGAATCAGGGTTGGCAAATTTACTGGTCCATTAAGAATAGATGGATTTTGGACTGGTCCGTTGCCATTAATAAAACACTAAATATGGTTAAAGCGTTACATTAATGGACCATCAATGGACCACATATTTGCCAACCCCGCCGTGAATACAAAAACGAATCAATCGAGATTTCCAACACGGGTGGTTTATATGTTGAAGAAAACGTCCATGAAATTTTGGCGTTAACTTCTATTTTCATGGTTACGCCAAATTCTTATTCAGACGTTATGATTAACATTTTCGGTTAGATTTATTAGATAAAGTTAGGGTTGTTAAATGGAGCATAATGTTCTGGAATCTGTATCACTCCATCATGGAGTGGGTTAAGATTTCTAATTTTTTGTACTAACCCGGAGCAAAATATTTCATTATAACCGGATTACTCCAAATTATTTTAGTAATTAGATTATTAATCAATTAATAAAATAATAATTTGTTAATTTTGATTTCTTTGTTCGCGAATTTTATTATGAATAAAAAACTGAAAATTTATGAAATTTTATATGAAATACTTTCAGATAGTGAGCCTGAACCATCAGTTGAATCATTATTAAATATAAATAGAGAAGAAAGTGATATTAATTTGATTATTAGTCAAGAAGATAATGAAAGTTTAATTACTACTCATATAACTATAACTACTACAAGTACAGCTACTACAAGTACAGTTACTACAAGTACAACTAATACTATACAAGAAAATGAATCTAATTCATCAAACACTTCACGCGAAACTTCTTGGGTTTGGGAATTTTTTTCAAAAGAATTACATATATTTGTATAATATGTAAAAATCGGTATAATTTTTTTTTACTTTAAATGAGAATTATAATTATAATTATTACTCCATGGAGCAACCCGGAGAACCCATGGAGTATTAACCCAGTATATTTAACCCGGGTTGGGTTAGGTTAACCTTGCTCCACTATAATATAAACCCGACACATTATGTTCTATTAACAACCCTAGATAGAGTATATAAACAACTTTCTCCAAAAAATAAACCAGAGTTAGATCCAGAACATGAATCCAAATTTAAAACAATCAATTAATGAGTCATGCGAGTGTGCAACCGATGCTCTTTTAAATATACTTGGCAGATCCTAAAAATAGGTCAGCAAGAAATATAAGGTTTATAATTTTAGAAGGATTAAAATGTTACCCAGTTCAAAACTAAAAATCAACCGAGCAAATTACGAACTATTTAGGTTACATAATGAAAGGGGTTTTCCACAAACCTAACAAACATACGGTTGAATGGCCCAATACGGGTCTCAAAGAAAGCAAAGCACGAAAGCTGAAAGGTAGAGCAAAACAACCCGACTTACAGTATCTGCAATTCATCAATTACAAACAAATGGAGTCTTATTCGTTGGAGAAGTTACTTCTTCTGCAGAGAAAGGAAATGTATTTAAAAATTGCAATGATTTAACTCGTGTAGGGATTTTTATGAAAGATTGTATTGATTCAGCTGTAGATAAAGGTGCAGATGTTAAAGTATTGGTAAGTCAATTAACATGATAATTGTTTTTTCCCATGTAACTGCAACTTATAAAATTTGCTATTTATTTTGTAGAATTCAAAATCGATTTTTACATAATGGAACTTAGTTCCAAAGGATTATATTTCATGCACAATGTTGGACAAGTTTTTATTCCTGCTTCAGTAAAGGAAATATCACATTTCATTAATGACTTAGAAACTTTGCTTATGGTGTGCGAAATTTTCAAAAAATCATTTGTTGATTTTTTTGACAAGTTATGCAATACAAAACAAGGAACTGAAAAAGCATCGTTTAAATGTGAAACTTTATCTACACCAAAGTTTTAATATGCTTGTAAATCACTCACATAATGTCAACAGAAAGTGTCCTTTTTGGTTTGGAAGATTTTAATATTGTTTAACTATTACTTGTTATTATAATTTATCAAATTTTCATTATCCCTTTCCTTCACAATTACATATAATTTCAAATCGTTATTATCTCTTTCCTCCATATTCGCAACTATATATTCACCATTGTTGTCTTATCCTCCCCCTTGTCATCAATTTCTTTTTCTTTTTTATAGTTTTCTTTTGCTAAAAAAAAATTATATTATCATTACAATTATATATTACTAAAATATTAAATAATATTTATTTATGTTGTTTTATGTATCGAATATAAATATCATCAACAATTTGTTTTCATTATAGATTGTGTATAATATTAAAATTAAATACAATTAAAATGCTTAAAATTTAAATACTCACAATACACTCACCTGCCAAAAGTATCCGGACAAAATGTAGATCATGTAAATTTCCGTGACATTTCTGGGTGTTTTACA